AAGTGCCTGGGAAGTCCTATGTACTACCTCGGCCTGCCTCCTGACTGCTGGAGGCCAGTCAGGCCGAGGAGGCAGCTCTTGCCAATGCCGAAGTGTGCCAGGGGCTGGCGTGCAGCAGCCTGCTTGTTACATCTTCGACGCCACACGGGTCCTACCGGACCCGACTTAGGGCTAGAGGGACACATCAGGGCCTAAAGGCCCGACCTTGGGGGATAACAGGCCGAAAGGCCACGACTTGGACCCGACTACGGACCAGGCCCAAATGACATTTCGTCTTTGGGCCTGACGGCGCCATTTGAGGCTGCCACTCTCCGGTTGGACCTGAATCGTCGATCTGGACGGTTCAGCCCCAACCAAGGCCTCGCAGCAGTGAGGCCGGTCCTCTTCGAACCAGTACTTAGTACTGGTCCGGCCTCACTTCGAGGCATCGACCCACCGGCACTCTACGCGGTGCGGTAAGGTCGGCGCCAGAGCGCCGTTTGAGCGCTATTCTGAGCGCAGGAGGAAGGACAGCAGCAGCGCGAGCTAGCGCAGCGGCAGCAGCGAGGACAGCAGCAGCAGCACGGCGGCCATCGCCGCCTCAGCAGCAGCAGCTCAGGTACCAGGAGGTGAGGATCTCTTCCTCCCTCCACGGTCCCGTTCCCCTCCTCCTCACCTCTGTCTTCTCTCTCTCTCTCTCTCTCCCTCTTCAGACTTCTTCTTCTTCTTCTTCTTCTTCTTCTTCTTCTTCTTCTTCGTCTTCTTCTTCTTCAGAGTGGAGACTTATTCCAGTTGGACCGAGATCAGTGTTGGACTTCGGTGGTATGAGACTGTGGTACTTACCGGATTGGAGACTTGGAGATCGTTGGGGTTGATACTAGGCGACATCACAGTTCAGACACCGGTTCCATTTGGACTCTGTATCCCCGACATTGGTGACCTATGGTCCTCGACATTTTGATCTTGTTGGATGACATTTTGGACTACCATATCGGTGACCTATCAGATTCTACCTCGGTGACTTTCGGTGCTGTCTACCTTCTCCCACCTCTTCGTCTCTCCTCCCCCATTTCATCTGTGTATGATGTGTACGGGGCTGAGCATCCTCTATGTATGGCTCAGACCCCACCATCTCACGATTGTATGTGTGTGGAGTGATGCTATGTGAGTCAGTCTATGTGAGTCAGTCCGTTTATCAGACTTCCGTTGCATCTATACTCATCCTACATTGGTTGATTCTTGGTTCTGCCCATAGTCATTGGAGTATGTAACACTGCTTGAGGCTGGCGTGGGAAACAGACTAATAATAGTCTGTTTCCGAAACCCTGGTTCGGTGCCCGAGTTTCAGGGCCGGTCGTTCTGATGAACGACCGAAAATGGCCCTTCGTTTCAGGCTAAAAAGGCTGTTGCCATTTTTAGTCTGAAACGACCAGGGATAGGCCCTGAACTTCAGGCTTTCGTGCTGAGCCGACAGGGGGCCTGTAAGCCCTGGATTTCAGGCTTTCGGCCTGAAATTCAGGCTTTCGGCCTGAAGTTCAGGCTTTTGGCCTGAACACCGTCGGGCCTGCAAAATGGTCGTCGGGCCAGCAAATTGGCCCGTGTGTGCACGCGCTGCATGTAACACTCTTGAGGGGGGAGTAGTGTGATGATCGGACCAAACATGGACTGAAACACACGGCTGATTTATGAGTTTTGCTCATTGACTGAATGCCTTGCTGAGTTTCACGCTTGCTACTAAGTCTGTGTGTGCATGCTTGCTGGACTGCATGTCTGTCTGAGTGCTGGTTGGCTTGAGTGTGTGCATGGCCCATGAGGGCACTTGTTCGTTTGTTGGGCCCTCAGGGCCGGTACTTACCTGTGGCCGTGACATTGAGGGATTGCAGCGGGGGAAAAAACTCAAGTAGCAGGTAGGCCGGTACCGCACCCGGAAGAGGTAGATGTGCGGGTACTGGAGGCCGAGCAGAAGAAGACAAAAGTGGCATTTTGAGAGGCCCAGTAGTTGTAGGCTAGGTCTAGGCGGGTACCAGTCCAACCAGTCTGTGTCTAGGGCCTGTACGGGCAATATCAGAGTCTGCAATGATTTTTCCCTCCGAAAGTTAGGAGGTACCGGTTGCTGGGAAGGCCGAGCGGAGTCACCGCCCAGGAGGCAAGCAGGCCATATATCTCCAGGCCGGGCGAAGAGCCCAGCCTCATTGTCGGTGTGCAAGTTTGGCGACACACTGTTGGAGCGCTGTCTGGAGCAGCGCTGCTGGGGAAGAAGCAAGGACTTGGAGGAGGAAGAAGGACAGGAAGGGAGAGGAGCGCCAGAGGTACTTACCTGGCTTTGGTGGCAGCCATCTTCATCACCTTGGTGGGCGCTGCAGCAGGAAGGCCCCAGCTGGGGTCGAGCCACACCAAGAAGCTTTGAGGCAGAGTCAGGCATGGCGGCCTGAGCCAGAGCAGCCATAGCTGCTTTGGGTTGTCCTTTGGGCATTTGGGCAAGGCCTAGTAGTCCGCCATAGCCTCGGCCTATGAGAGTGAAGAGTGAGGGAGGCGGCCATGGCTATGGTGGACCTCGAGTGATACCAGCAGTAGAAGAGGGATTCGGGCTTTGATTCTGGTTCTCAGCTATTCAACATTGTATTATTATTTCTTGTGCGAATAAGAGAGGAGGAGATAAGGAGGAAGAGAGAGTTGGGCGAAGAAGAATAGCTTTGTCATTTGTCTATGGTGGTGTACATCATCTTCTTCTTCTTTCTTACTTCTTCTTCTTCTAATCTTCTCTCTCCTCTCAAGTTCATTCATTTCTTTCTGCAATTGGACGCCATTGTACTATTTGATGAATGTGCATCTCGAAATTGGCCAGGATCATAACAAATACAATGAACTCTGATGTCAATGTCTCCACACTCTGGTCACACCAACACAGTATCCACTGTCCCTCCTACTGTCTGGCGCTCGGCGCCCAGCCTACTCTAGTCAGCCTATCTAGCTTATCTACGTTCTCACAAGCAGATCACATCGCAGTTGAAGACCAATGTACGTTGACGTCATCGCCAATGCCGACTGCCAGCATACACCCGGTACGT